AGTGTGTGTGTGTGTGTGTGTGTGTGTGTGTGTGTGTGTGTGTGTGTGTGTGTGTGAGGTGGCGGCGGGTAGGATCAAACGGGGTCGGATGAGGCTTGAAAGACAATGGAGGGCGTCCCGATACGCCCACCCGTCCCACGCTGATGTGTGCAATGCCATGCGCCCGCAAGCACGCATGAGGTTAGACAGCTGCGCGTCCACCCATGCACACAACACACGCACGCACTCATGCACACACCAAACCCCGGACCCACCAATGGCGACTTTGCCCCCCCACAAACACGCGAACACAAACATGCAAACACCCACACAAACACTCACACACACACACACATTCTCGAAACACACTCACCCACATGCGCGTCCAGGCAGGCACCCACCAGCCCCCACCCAACCCCCCACCTGCAGGTAGCGGTGGATCTGCCTCGACGGCATCATCCTCAGCAGGACCTCGTACGCGATGACGGGCGTGTTCTCGACCAGGGCCGGCAGCTGCTCCGCGCTCAGGCCCAGGGAGTGCACCAGCTTCGGATCGGCTTCCAGCTCAGATAGCACCTGGGGCGGGACGGCGTGTCAGCGGGACGGCGGGACGGGGGAGGGCAGGGCAGGGGGGCGTGCTGGGGCGTGCCGGGCGTTTCGTGGCTAGTCGCATGTGCGGCGTGGGACGGCCGTGTTTGCCGTCTGCGGCCGGTTGGAGGCGAGCCGTCACGGTCGGTGACAGCCCAAGGGCTCGCCGAGGCCGTCAGAGGGGGAGCCCGCGCCGCCGGTGGGCGGACAGGCCGCGGAATGGCCACAGGGCGCTATGATTCACGCGCCGCAGTCCGGGGCGCCGCGCACACTGTTTGTTTACCTGCTGCTGCTGCACTGGGAGCAGGGGTCCCTTGAGCGCCTTGGCCACCAGGTCGCGCACCACCTGCTCCGCCGCGGCCGGGGCGGGCGAAGAGCAAGGGGACGATTGGGTGGGGCGGCGGGCGCGGCAGGGCGAAGGATCGCGTTTACCTTGGCGACCTCGGCGCGGGGACGAAGCGCCCCGCTCCGCTGCTTACCCCCGAAGGGGTAAGCAGCTGGCGCTGGGTGTGATAATCCCGCAACCGCAGGCGCTGTCAACTGTGTGCGCGCGCGCGTGCGCACACACACACACACACACACACACACACACACACACTCACACGACCACCCCCCATTACCTGCAGCCCACCAGGGTCCTCCCCCATGGTGCTGTCCCAGAGCAGCTCCTGCCCCAGCGGCAGCTGCAGCCACCGCAGCTCCCCAAACGAGGGCGTCAGCACCGCCGGCCGCGGCCGCTGCCACGCGGGCTCAAAACCTTCCAGGGTCAGCCGCTGCACGACGCCCGCCAACAGCTCCCCCTCTGCTCGGGCGTCTGCGTGCTGCTGCTGCGCCTGCTGCTGCTGCTGCTGCTCAAGTGGGTGGTGCGTGGAGGCGGCCGCGCCGCGGGGAGGCACGGATTCGGGCACCTCCGCGGGCAGCAGGCGGCTGATGGCTGAGCGCCGGAAGCTGCTGGCGCCATCCAACGCGGGGCAGGGCCTGTGGAGCGGACGGAGGGCCGACAGCAGAGTAACGGAGGGCAGGCCAGCGCAAGCGGGGGGGCGGGGTGGGAGCGCTGCCCCCGGCCGACCTTTGCGATGCATTGCTGGAGCCGCCTGTCGTGCTTGGTGCACGCCCACGCAGGCCACGCGTCGTTCGCCTTTGCTGTCCGCCTCGCGCGCGCACTCGGCCCCCACCTTCCGAGGTAGCGCTGCTTCAGCGCCGCAGAGTCGGGGGCCGGCACCACCTCCAGCGCCTCAACTGACAGGCAGAATGTCTGGACCGTCAAGTGGGAGACCTGGGTGGTTACAGGGCACGCGCGTGTTTTCGACAACTTGGGGTTGACAGGTGGCGCTTGGCGGTGTTGTGACTGCGGGGCAAACCGCACCTGCTGTCTCTGTGCCCACCGCCGGACATGCTGCAGCGGCTGACGCTGCGGCGGCCTCTGCTTCTGCTGCTGGTTGCTGGCTGGAAGTGCAGCGCACCACCCACCGTTTGGAGGGTCCCGCCCTGCAGCAGCTGCAGCAGGAGGCATCGCTCCTGGAGCGGCCCGCCGCCGGCCGCAGCCGCCTGCCAGGCGCGCGGCGTGGTGCAGACGGAATCAGGCGTGAGATCCAGGCAATTTGTGCCCGTTCCGATGGCTTTGCTGGGTTGCAGCAAGGCAGCCGCGGCCTCTCGGCTCTTTGGGTACATGGCCATGCCATGACTCGGCTGCATCTTGCCATCCACAAGAGAGCTACAGGATTGCTCCGAACAGACAACACCAACCATGTCATAGCACCAAGCAACGAACGTGTTCTGCGATAATCCGTTCAACTCGGCCGTGGCAGCGATGGGGACGCATCCGCGTAATTTTCCACAAGCTCCACAGCCCAGGCCATTGCCGACGCCCGCCCGCAGCTGGAGATGGCAGCCGCCGCTGCCACCCTGCAGCAGCTGCTGCCCTCTGCTGCAGCGCATGTGCACGGCTCACCTCAACGAACACGGGCACAAAGGGGTTGTCCTCGAGATCGGATGCCTTGAAAGCGTCCCAAAGCACGTACCAAAGTGCGAGCCGCTGCGGAGCGCCCAGCAGACCGGGATCCTGCACCAAGGCGCGCGCGGCGTGGGCGCGGTGCCATCACCCAGTGTCGCGGGTGATGAACGCTCCCATGCAGGAGGCTGGCCCAGGCATGGGCACCGCAATGGCCGTCCGATGCAGCGCGTGCTGCACGGCGGCGGCGGGGCAAATTCTGATGCGGTGTCGCATCAATATGGGGCATGCCGCACCTCGAGTAGGAGTACTATAGCACAACAAGCCTTAAATCGGTCCCCAGGCTCAAAGAGCCTCGCGAATTCTTGAGCTACCGCTTCAAATGTTTGATCTCCTTCTGGCAAGACTGTGAGTAGCCGAGATGTCTCAGCAGGGCTCAGCAGGGGACGTTGCATAGCGGGGCATCCTCTCGAAGCGCCAGGCGATCGGCGGATCTCGTGTGGTGAACGGATGCAATGGTGCCTGGCGCTCAACACAAGGTGTCAGAGAGAAAAGTGCTGGGTGACTGATACAATTGCAATGCGACATTGCCTAGGTACGCAGCTGCATTGTGTGGGTGCTCGTCAGCATGCGCCGGCCGCCTGGCCGCCCTTGCCCACTGTAGTCACGGGGCCACCACGACTACGGGGGACCCAAAAAGGGGGGAAGGGTTGCCATGCTGTGTGTTTCCTGCGTGCATTGACCTTATATTTCAAGCACACCTGAATTTTTCAGCGGCAATGCTGTGGCAGTGGCATGCCTTGTTCAGCATGCAGCAGGCCACTCCCAGCAGCACCCATACAAACAGCACGCCTTCACTCGTTTGCGTTGCAGCGATTGCGCAACTGGCGCCACCCGCTTTGCGGGCTCGGGCCCGACACCCTCGTCATGCCCCGCCGTGATGTCGCCACACAATAGCCACAGCTTATTACAAGTGCAATCTGTCAGAAGGGCGCTTAGGATTCATGAACCACTCAAATACCAAACCAACCTACATTCTGTCATTAGGGAAATAAAGTCTGCATCTGCTCTACGGACGCGTCTGTGCGCGCGCCCCCAAACACGACGAGCTGATGGCAAAACCGCCGGACCCCCGCGGCGCAGAACGACTGCTGGGTGCGGCGCCCCGAGGGGCCCTCGTTTGCGGTTGAATGACGCCCACACAGCAGTGCTGGCACCCACGCACGACGCAGTGCCAGTTGAAAAGCAACGGGCCGGGCGCCTCACCTTGCTGCCACGATGTTTGCCGACCGACGAGCAGGGCAAACAGACAACACAACCAGAGCCTGATGATGCGCGCCCTGCGGGCAGGCCGCCAGCAGCTGCCGCCCGCCCAGCCCCCGCAACCAACCGCACCGCAGCGTGCGCCGCGGCGGGGGCGTCGCGCCGCACCCATCTCTAGGGCCGTTGGTCCCTGTGAGAGTGCGTCACCGGGGCCAGCCGGGGCACCCGGGCGCCGCGCCGGGGCGGTCAGCGGCTGCCTGTGAAGAGGAACATGAGGTCATCCGCCGTAAGCCGCGCCGCGCCGCCGCCCACGCCGCCCTCCGCCAAAGCCGCGTCGATCAGGCGCCGCTTATCCTCCTGTGGTCGAGGTTGTGTGTGGGGTTGGGCGGGGGGAGGGGGGAGGGCACACAGGGTCGTCAGGGGCGGCGTTGCTGGGGGTGCAGGTCTGACAAAGGGGGTGAGCCCCCCCGCGGGGCTGTGACGTACGAGGCAAAGTGGGTTGGAGGGCGGGCCGGGCGGTGCTTTCGGAGCGAGCGACCTGGGGAGCGCCCCTGGCAGGATGGGCCCACCTGCACCTGCCCAAAGCACCGGGCACCCCTCCCGAGCACCCCCCTGTCACC